ATCTAAGCAGTACGAATTGCCGAAAGAATATCAGACACCATCCACATCCTATGAGTCTCCGGAAGATGACTACAGTACACCTTCCAAGGCCCATAGCCGTCCTAGCAACAAATACAAGGTCCCGTCCAGGACATACGATTTACCCGCAAAAGACTATGGTCCATCAGATGGGACATACAAGGCACCTTCTAAAGAGTACAAGGCTCCCAGCAAGGACTACAGCACTCCATCCAAGACGTACGACCTACCAGCACAAGAACACAAATCACCTGGAAGGGAATACGGCGGCCCACCTCAGACTTATGACTCGCCATCGGAAGACTACAAAGACCCCAACAAAGAATACATAGCCCCATCTAAGAACTACCAACTGCCTTCAAAGGAATATGATACTCCCAGTAAAAAGTACAAGGGCCCATCAAAGACTTACGACCTACCTTCAAGAGAACAAAGTGTTACCGAAAAATACAAAGAACAGGAATACAACGCTCCAAGCGAAGGGTACAGTGCTCCATCAAAAACCTATGATCTGCCTTCAAATGAATACACTAAACCAGATTCTGAATATGACACTCCATCCAAGACGTATGATCTATCTACAAAGGAATACGGTGCACCAAGCAACGACTACAACGCACCATCCAAGACCTACGATCTACCTTCGCGGGAATACAACTCACCATCCAAGACACACAATCAACCTTCGGAAGAATACAACGCTCCATCCAAGACGTATGATCTACCTTCAAAGGAATACGGTACTCCGAACAGGGAATACAACGCACCATCCAAGACCTACGATTTACCTTCGAAGGAATACAATGCTCCATCCAAGACGTATCATATACCCTCAAAGGAATATGGTACTCCGAACAAGGAATACAACGCACCATCCAAGACATATGATCTACCCTCGAAAGAATACAACGCTCCATCCAAGACGTATGATCTACCTTCAAATGAATACGGAACTCCGAACAAGAAACACAACGCACCGTCCAAGACCTACGATTTACCTTCGAAGGACTACAGCGCTCCATCCAAGACGTATGATCTACCTTCAAAGGATTACGGTACTCCGAACAGGGAATACAACGCACCATCCAAGACCTACGATTTACCTTCGAAAGAATACAACGCTCCATCCAAGACCTATGATCTACCTTCAAAGGAATACGGTACTCCGAACAAGGAATACAACGCACCATCCAAGACCTACGATTTACCTTCGAAGGAATACCACGCTCCATCCAAGACGTATGATCTACCTTCAAAGGAATACGGTACTCCGAACAAGGAATACAACGCACCATCCAAGACATATGATCTACCCTCGAAAGAATACAACGCTCCATCCAAGACGTATGATCTGCCTTCAAATGAATACGGAACTCCGAACAAGGAACACAACGCACCATCCAAGACCTACGATTTACCTTCGAAGGAATACAGCGCTCCATCCAAGACGTATGATCTACCTTCAAAGGATTACGGTACTCCGAACAAGGAATACAACGCACCATCCAAGACCTACGATTTACCTTCGAAGGAATACAGCGCTCCATCCAAGACGTATGATCTACCTTCAAAGGATTACGGTACTCCGAACAAGGAATACAACGCACCATCCAAGACATATGATCTACCTTCGAAAGAATACAAAGCACCATCGAAGACGTACGATCTACCATCAAAGGAGTACGATGCGCCAAACAAGGGCTACGACGAACCATCAAAGACCTACGACCTACCTCCAAAAGAGTACAAGGCTCCGGAAAAGGACTACAGTGCCCCATCTAAGACCTATGATCTGCCTTCGAAGGACTACGATGCACCCAGCAACGAATACAACATCCCATCAAAAACCTATGACCTGCCTTCAAACGACTACACCGCCCCTGACACGGATTATAACAAGCCTGCCGACTATAATCAAGGCCATTCAAAGCATCAGCGTCATCGTCCTACGCACAAATCCAGAGTAAAGGATGCTCCCGAAATCGTTACTGAGTACATTCCTTCGTCTTTGACTTATCCGCATCCATCGATGTTCATCAACCTGGACTACAAGGATCCAGTGCGAAAGGATTTTGGCTTTGGGGCGCGCCTGAAACCTCGCAAACGTCCTGATACTGCAGCTCCGAAGCCACCCACATCGGCTAAACGCGGTGGAAAGCGTCACCGCTCTCGACCGACGCCAACGCCTCGGCCAGCGCCACCCGTCACGTCCTACCTGGCCCCGCTCACAGAGTTGGTGTCGACCACCTCCAGTCCTGTGGTGCGTCCTGTCATCAGAGACCCCGTCACTCGACACAAGAACGGCTACACTGTGAAGTTCACCATCGAAGGCCTGAAGCGCCGCAGGCCGGAGAGTGCTTCCCTGATCCGTGAAGAGGCGAAGGTGATAAAGGGTCGTCGCAGACCTGTGGGACATTCAGGCAAGCACAAACCCGACGGTGTTTATGACGCCCCAGTGGATACGCATGAGCAGAGGCCAACCACATATAGACCTAAGGTTAGCGTACCAGCCAAGCAGTCACATTCAAACTACCACGCACCATTCGATGAGTACCAGGCGCCTCACAGTGATTACGCAGCTCCTGAGGACGATTATGCTCCCGCCGCTCCTGAGCAGGGATACAAGAAACCGGCAGGCCAATATGCTGCTCCTCATGCTAACGGTGGACAGGGTTATCAAGATGAAACAGTATCAAGGCCTGGAAACTATGAAGATAAGGGCTATCAATATGAAGAGCCAAAAGATTCATACGAAATACCTCTCGATTACAAAGCCCCGGAGGCTAGCTATAGCGTGCCCAAAACAAAAACCAAGGTCAAGTCTCCGTCTAAATTCTACGATCTACCTGCTCAGACTTATGCTCGACGACCTTCCGCTGATTACCAGCCTTCCAAGCCCTACCAATCGCCAGATGTTCATCCTGCTGATTACACCGATCACCGGCCAAGTGTTCCGAACAACTACGAGACCCCAAGAGGCACCTACAGTCCGCCACAGGAACACCATCAGGAATATCCAGAACAGGGAATGAAGGCCCATCAAACTCCTCAAAGCAGCTACGAAGCACCAGCAGCCATTGATGAATACAAGCCTAGTACGGGCTACAAACTGCCAGAACCTGAAAAGAAGGAACCTTCCAACAGTTATGCAACACCAACCACGGACTACAAAAACGGTTCACGTAAAAGTAATTATAGGGAACAATCAAACTCTGAAAAGGCCAAGACTGCATCAAAATATGGTAAGCCCGTCAAGCACGAGCCCAAACCTCAAGCATATGACGAAGTGAAACCTCAGCACCATGGCAGACCTGGGGTAAGCTACAGAGCACCGTCCGTGTTTTACGAGGCTCCATACCCCAGCGAGAAGCATATCGGACAACACAAAAGTAAGCCTCAGCAGGGCTATGACTATAAAGCACCGCAAGATCAATATAAGGCTCCTCCATCATCATATAAACCGGAATCATTGACGAAGTCTAATGCGCATAGTCAACAACCACAGGCACCTGTCAGTCAGTACCAGCTTCCACGACCCAAGCCATCATCTGACTACGCTGCGTCCCCTCCAAAATCATACGACTTACCCGCCAGCGACTACAGTGTTCCCAGCACCATCCAGCTTGGCAATGTCCGTGTGCCAATCAGGAAGCCGAAGACTGTTCACATCCGGTACAACTCCCCGAAGTCGCGACCTCTGCCACATGTGGCTGACTATGAGGACCCGGATGCAGCGTTCAAAGCGCCGGTAGGAAGCACGTACCAAGCGCCAGTCAAGGCTGCTTACTACCATGACTCTGCTCAGGGTACTCCGACTGCCATGAATGCGATTCCTGACACCCATCCTGATGCGCCCTACGACGATTATGCTGCTCCTGAGGTCAGCTATAATCCTCCTTCGAAGGTCTACGATCTTCCCAATCAGGAATATGTTCCACCAGGCGACGAAGGATACTCTGGGCCAGATCAAGAGTATGTTGCACCATCTGAGAGCTATCGGGAACCTGAGAAGCAGTACGAAGTCCCTGAACAGGATTACAGCGCACCGGATAATCAATACGGAATTCCACCAACGGAATATGAAAGCCCTGAGAGCGGCTACACGGCTGCAGAAGGAAATCGGGCACCGGTTAAGGATTATCAATCACCAGGTGATCATCATCGAACTCAGGAGGAGAAATATACTGCTCCTGGTATTGCCCATGGAAAGCCTGAGGTGAACTACAACACGCCTGCTAAAGAATACCAAGCGCCTGAAGAGACATACAATGCTCCTGAACAGTCCTACCATGCTCCCCAAAATGAATACCAGACGTCTGACCCGACATACCAGGCTCCAAATGAAGAGTATGAGGCTCCTGGTCAGGTTTACCAAACCCCTGCCAAGGGGTACGATGTACCTCTTCAGGCACACAAAGATCCCGACGTAGGATATGATGCGCCAGAACAAAGCTATGAATCCCCGGATCAGGCGTACCAAGCCCCGTCGAATGTGTATCAGGGACCAGCAGACACGTCAGAGGCCATTGAGCAAACATACAACGCACCCGCATCGCGATACAAATCGGTGAAACACTACGACGTGAAGCTGATTATACCCCCACAGCGGTACGAACTCCCTCATCCCGGCACCGGCAGTGTGAAGTCCACTTATAACGGGCACTCAAGACCTATGTCTCAAACGTACGGTGCTCCAAGCTCAAAGGGAAGACCAACTCAGCACGGCATCAAGATTCCGAACAAACTGTATGACTTACCGCAACAGGAGTACACAGCACCAAAGGAGTCTTACCGCGCGCCACAGAAGAGCTACAAAGCTCCCAGCGACGAGTACGTTGCGCCCGGCAGTGAATATGAAGCTCCAGTCAGCGATTATGAAGCGCCTGGTCAACATTACACCCCACCAGCCGCTGAGTACAAGGAGCCATCAAAGCAACATGCAGTTCCAGCTACCAGGTACAATGCTCCAGAAGAGAGTTACAAAGCGCCAAGCAAGGGGTATTCATTGCCTGAGGATGACTATTCACCACCGAAGGCTTCGCATGATAAGTCGAAGCAAATGTTTGCCGTTCCGAGCCCGTTCTACGACCTCCCGCAGAAGGAATACGTGCCACCACAGAAGGAGGGGTATCCAGAGCATAGTCGCACTTACGACCTGCCTCAGAAGGCACCGGAGCAGCAATACCACGCTCCAGACACCTCCTACAGGGAACCAAAGCAGATGTACAGGGAATCGACCGACTATGAGGACTCCAATGTGCATCAACAACCGCATGATGGATATGAACATCCCCAGACCAAATACACAAAACCTGATACGGTGTACAAAACACCAGATGTCTCCTACAAGCGTCCGAATCCATTCTACGATCTTCCTGAGAAGACCTATCAAAAGCCAGCCAGTGAATATGAATCTCCGCGGAGTGATTATAAGGCGCCCAACAAGCAGTATGATCTGCCCAATAGAGAACAACACATGGTGCCGAAAGAGGATTATCATGAACACGAGAAACCCACAACAGAATATGACCTACCGAGCACACAATATCAGTCCTCAAGCACAGGAAATGACCATCAGAAAGATGCCGCTTATGATTACAAACCGCCATCGAAGCAATACGAACTGCCGAATATTGCATACAAGCCTCCTCAAACGACTTATGGCCAGCCATCAGCTTATGAAGCACCATCGGAAGATTATGAGAATCCTTCAACCAACTACAAGACTTCAGAGAACACCAATCCTTCCAAGACATATGATACACCTTCAACCCAATACGACTCGCCTGCCATGAGCTACAACGCACCCACTAGGGATCGTAAGCCGTCGGCGAATTACGAATCCCCTGTAACAAAGTATGATGCTCCTTCAACCATGCATGACGCCTCAGTTTCGAGTTATGACGTCCCCGCAACAAACCACAACTCTCAACCATCACACTACCAAGCGCCCTCAAACAACTACGAGGCACCGTCTTCCAGCTATAAGGTGCCATCTAAGGAATATGACAAAGCTCCTGTGGATTACAAAGAACCTTCCGGATACCAAAGTCCCTCTTCAATGCCAAGGATACCGCCATCGGGCCACCGAGTCCCTGAATCTCAATACGAAGCACCAACGTCACAGTACAACGCACCGTCCTCCAACTACCAGGCTCCACCGACGAAATACGAAGACCCTCCCTCAAAATACCAATCACCTATGAAGAACCCAGTTCCAGATTCCAACTACAACCCACCCACAAGCAACAACGCTCCGTCTTCGGGCTACAACGCACCATCAGGTGACTACGCAGGTCCTTCTCGCGACCACGAGGCACACATGGTCGAGCAGCATCCTCACCCTTCGCACGCCTCTCCCTCCCAGTATAATAACCCGGCCCCGCAGTTCTCTGATGACGGCAGGCCTGGTGGCCAGTACGACAGACCGCGAAACCATACCCGTCACTACGACAACGGCCGGTACCGAGCAGAGTTCCAGACGAAGGGACCGTACTGGGACGACCAGCGCAGCCACGCGGACGGCACCGCCGACCACGACGAGAGCGGCAGACCGCGCTACTCGCCGGGCTTCATCCGCGCCGGCAAATTGTGGGGAAGCGTGCCAGGTGAGTGACGGCGGCTGTGGGAAACACCCGGGCGGGGATGTCAGACTGGGACATGGGAACTTGGATCGCCTTGTCTTGAACAGCTTCGTTTAGTTATGATATTGTTGATCATGCCCGACTTATTTTCGCATCCCGTAATTTTCAGCTAATTGAAGCCAGCCCTAGATCCTACAGCATAACCACACCTGACACCCGTCATTAGACCCTCACCTGTCGTATGACCTTTCAGGCACCACCGGTCTGGACTACCCGAACCTGACTCAGGTGCCACTGACAAGGTTCACCTGTAAACACCAGTACCGCACCGGAGGCTACTACGCTGACGTCGAGGCAGGATGCCAGGTGAGACGTGATGGGTGGAGGCGGGATGTTAGTTTCTTTTTTAGTACAGGTGAGACATGGAGACTGGAGAGATGAGATGTCCGGATGTCACCGGAGACCGGATGTCAGGCGATACTTGGAGTGTGTAGGCGGGCCATGTTTATTTGCAATGATTGAGAAGACCACCGAAAAGGCGCGCTGAAAGGGAATTAGGACATGGGGCCTGGGGGAGTGGTTAACTTGAAGCTGCGGTCTCGCCAGCTTTCCTTCACGGTCACTGGATTTCCTCTAAAACACTGTTAGTGTTGACCATCAAAGCAAACGATCTAGTGGCTTATGATCATTAGCGACGAACTCGACGCGGCTGACCGTCTCAACAGCGCTCTAAGGAGGCTGGTGACAAATGTGGCGTGTCGGCGTCGATTGTAGCGGCTCTCTTGTCCGCTCTGTCAGCTGATTCTGATCCGAGCGTTGTTGGACCATTTATCAAATAGAACCAGTGCGCCAACCGAGAAAGCTGACCGGCGGCCGAATCTTGGCGGGATCCATTGTCACAGAGGCTGATGGTCAAGCCACGTCTTTAGCGATCGTTTATAAAGAAAGTAACTTAGGTTTGGTAGTGGGTGATTTGTCGCGAATGGCTGGATATAGACTCCCGTGCGCCACCACTTTTCTACACAATGTATATTCATGGACGATGCCTTTCAATTCACCAATGTAGAATAAATGGAATAAAAGTTCAGATACAAAGAAGTCTGCCCGCAAAATCGTTGGCAATGACGTTGCATGTGGCATATTGCGTAGATACGATACTGACCTGACTGGTCACGGCCGAAAAAAAGTGTAATTACTATTAAATGGTAATGGGGGATATCAGCAGGGTTGTGCTCGACTCAAAAAATTTGCCGACTCGACTCATCATTCAACTTCAGAAAGCCCTGACTCAACTCTGACTCAAACAAGGAGCTGATTTTTTCCCTTGACTCAACTCATGGCTCAAGTGGCTCAATGAAAATATGAGTTGACTCAAACTTGACTCAAATTTTTGTTGAGTCAAGTGAGTTGACTCAAAATTGACTCAGATAAAAAAGTTGTTGAGCGGGGAGTGGGGGTGAAAAAAATCCTGCAGCAGGGCCAGGCCTAAGTTGTTAAGCAGGGGGAGAATGAAAAGCTTATGTAGATTGTTTCTAGAAAGATGAGTCAGCTGACTCATGTTCCTAAATGTTTTTGACTCAACTCAATGTCAAAAGTTATTTTACTGACTCAACTCTGACTCAACTCAACGCCTTAATATTTTTGTCCGACTCAACTCTGACTCAACTCAACAGCTCAGCATTTTATCCGACTCGACTCAAATCTGACTCATTTGAGTCAGAGTTGAGTCAAATTTCTGACTCGACTCATGAGTCAAGCACAACCCTGGATATCAGTAATTAATTTGCACGGCTAGATGCCACATTCTGTCCACTCAGGTGACCGTCGGTCTAACCATGTGGTCCAGCCACCAGTCCACCCGCCGAGCTCAGCTGGTGGTGCGGCGGCCGCAGTGCGCCGTTAGTGTGTCGAGCGCGCCGTGATTGTCGAGGCGGGGCGGGAACGGTCATCCGTCGGTGGCGCCGGTGGTCGAGCTGTGGTTGTGGGCTGGCGGTCCGCGTGGGACTGGCCGCACGAGACGGAACGTGGGGATCGCGACGGACTGACGTTCCTATTTATCAAATGATCTCTTTTTGGTGAATAAGGATTGAAGAGTCGTGGATTGAAGTCGTTCATAAAAATTTCCTAGGGCTGACTATAACCCTCGTAACGTAAGGCAATAGTTTTGGCCAGTGGTCAGTTTCTCATCGGGAATATTTAGTCGACAATTGTGACGCAGCGAGCGAAGCGAAGTCTTCTCAATATAACGGAAAAATCTCAGTATGAGAATTACGAGCGAGCGAGCGCAGCGAAGTCTTCTCAATATAACGGAAAAATCTCAGTATGAGCGGCCCGGCCCGGCCGGGCTGGCCTGTAACGCTTTTGAGAGGCTTATCCCTCGCATGTGTGCGGCGTTTGCCAGCTTCTAATGTGTATAGGGGGGGGGGGGGGGGTCGGTTGGACCCCCCTTGCCGTTTGGCCCCTGATCGAGCTAGAGCTTCGCGGAAAAAACGAGCGTGTTGCCCGTGACGAGAGGAAGCCGATGATACCCAATTTTAAGGTCCTAGGTCATCGAGTGACCTTCCAGGTCAGGTCAATGACCCAAAGTCGGGAAAATCGGGACCTGTTAGAAAGTCGTTAAGTGTGGTTGCTAAGGGGTTTTTCGGGGTGCTGATCACGAATATCGTGTTAGTTTTGATCAAAGATGATGTCGTTAAGCATTTAGACCAGGTCGGGTCAGGTCAGGTCAGGTCAACCAGTAGGCGTCGTGACGGGTATTCGTAGTACGTGTCAACCGCCTCTTATAGCTTCGTAACATGTCACGAAGTCACCAAAACTACTTCGTAAATGTTCAAATGGTTGCTAAATTCGAATTCAGCTCCCAAAACTAGCCTAGAAACATGTAAAACTCGAAAAAGTGAACTGAGGTCACCCGAGGTCACCAAAGGTCAATGACCTGACCTGACCTTTAGGTGACCTTGACACCCACCCTAATGTATGGGAGCAACATAAAATCACATGTTTGAACGTTTGAAACCACGAAAAGCTTGCAAACGCGCGGCTAATGCGAGCCGACATACGCGAAATCGCGATTCCGGCCAAACATGGTCTCGGAAAAGAGGTCACAGGTCAAAGGTCATTTGGGTCAGGGTCATGAAATTTTCAAGGTAGGTGTAAAATTGATCAATGCGAGGGTACTGAAAGTTTCGTTGCGGTCGGCCGCTTTTTACGCGAGTTATTCGCGAAAAACCATGGGGGGTCCATCCGCCCCCCCCCCCTACACATGCGAGTGTTATATCTCAGCAACCGCTGGGCCGATTGGCCTGCGGTCTTTTTTGCTGGGTAGCCCTATCCCTTCTACCCCGTAATTGACTACTTTTGATACATCTTAGTGACCGACGTGGCACGTGCCACGTGAAAAGTCAAGGGTGTTCAAGCTGTTTTGCAAAAGTAGTGATTTTGAGAGGCCCATATCTCAGCAGCCGCTTGGGCGATTGTCTTGCGGTAATTTTTGTAGGGAAGCTGCATCTCTTATACCAAAGGTCGGATACTCTTGATCTATGTGAGTGACCCCCACTGCACGTGCAAAATGCAAAAAGAAGAGGTGCCAAATTTGTTCCCATTTCAATAACTCGGTAATTACTGGGGCGATTTCGCTGAAACTTGGCATACAGGTAGGCACCCACCAGGCAATGCATTCCCATGTGCTGCGGTTAGGGTGCTACTGCACGTGCGCACGTGCAGGGGGCGCTCCCAGATCTCGAGAAGGGCCGGGCCGATTGCGCTCAAATTTGGTACACGGTTGGGGACCAGTTAGTAGGGTGCCGTGCAAAAGTCAGTTTGGACCCCTTTTGCACGTGCGCACGTGCAGAATGCCGCTTCAAGATCTCAGGAACGGCTGGGCCGATTGCGTTCAAATTTGGCACACCGCTAGCGACCGGTTAGAAGGGTGCTTTGCACAAGCCCGTTGGAAGTACCCTCTCGCCCTCCCGCACGTGCAGGGCTTACTATCTCGCTCGCTCGTTCTTCGCCCAAAAGGCGTTTTACTGATTATAGAATGCCCACAGCCGGGCGAATTTCGCCACTTTTATCGGACATTCGACGCTCCATGCTTTACCGGACATATACCTAGCCGAACAGGGCATCAACAGACAACAGTGGATGCGGTCTAATTCGTTTTGAAACAAGCTGCAAAGCTAAAACACAAAGCGTTCGAGTACAGTGCACACAACATTTTGAATGTAAGTTCCGCGTCAGCCGCCGTTGTTAGTCTAGTTGTTGCATGATGATTTGTCTGTAGAAATTTCACTTAATCGTTTTTTCGGCACATTGATGCTTTATTTGCAACAGGCATCAAACATAAATTCGAAGTTTAAAGGCATAACTCTCCCAATTAACTGGACCAGTTTGGAATTCGGCTTCGGTCGTTCTCGTCGACGCCGCTCGCAACCGTGGTTCTGTCCACTGGTGAGCAGTACGAAACAGGACCGAAACGGGAAACGCGCGCACAGCCGCCACTGGTGGGAGCTGAGAGACGAGAGAAAGTGCGTCATCTGCCGCCGTCGCGCCACCCGCCGCCGCGCCGGTCGAGCGTGACATGAGCGCCGTCATTGACGACACCTCGCCGAAACTGTCACAGTGTCCACCAACCGGTTGGCGCGAGAGGAATTCATTGCAAAATGCAAAGTAACGTACCTACCAATGGTGATTGCTGATGCATCGATGTAGGATCTAGATACATCAATAAAGATATTTTACTTCAGAATGTTTTCTTAATTCTTTCCATAGCGCGCTTACATAGTTTGGCGAAACTTTAGGTTAGGTTAGGTTATGTAAAGTGTAGATAAACTGAATCTGGAAATTGAACCGTTTTAATTTTATGTTCGTGTCCCAGTTCATACAGAGCAAACAGCCTCATGCCAGCCCCGCCCCGAACCATACCTACCACAATGTTACCACAAACGTCTGGAGCGTAATGAGTCTCATGAACCTAGCCGCCACGTCTGGGGTTAGATGTAGCCAAATAAGCGAACATATTCTTTGATGAGAGTACCTATAGATGCAGCAAAAAAAATTCGTTAATCGTTACTCTAAAATGGTCATAAGAACGTAAGTCGGTATTCGCTAGTCGTTGTTAATTCGTTATCAAGTTGAATTTGACGCGTTGAATTAAGGTGTCTAATTTTAACTTGATAAGGAATTAACGAGTGGGCAATTAATGTGTCTAATTTAAACTTGATAACGAATTAACGACTAGCGATTAACGGTTTGCGAGCTTATGACGATTTTAGAATAACAATTAAGGAAAGGTCTTCGCGAAATATGCAAGATAACTTATTATTCGGATTTCGGATCTCCGCGAAACAATTACTTTTGTAGACAGGCGA